AGCCAGGAGCCCGAGCAGGACTGCGCCGTGTCCTCGGGGGAACTGCCCGGGAAAGAGGAAGGGCAAGAAGACGAGCACCCCGTCGCCAAGCTGCTCCTCCCCGTCAGCCCCACCGTCCCCCCCCGGCGGCCCCCGGAGACGCGGTGAAGGGCGGAAAGTCCCGAACAGCCCTTCGAGGGCCGGAGCGCCCCCTGGTGGAACCTTCGCGCCTCTCGAGCGTCCTTGGAGGGGCGACCGTTAGGAGGAAGACCCATGTATTGGACTACAAGTCCCATGAGAAGTGAAGCTCATGGGAGTTGTAGTCCAACGCATCTGGAAAGCGCCAGGTTGGAGAAGGTTGAGGGAAGGAGAACAAGAGCTAGTCCCCTTCCAATTTCTCCGTACTTTGTTTCTTTTCCCCCCATTTTAATCCAATTTCAGGGTTTTTTAAAGTTTATTTTCAAAGCTGGATAATTAAATGATCCTTCCATGTGAGAAATATTCAGCCACTGACAGAATTGGGGAAGTGGGAGGAAAGAGCCATCCATGAGTATTTGGTCCTTCTGATCTCACTTGTGTTGGATAACGTTGGCGATACAATTATATTTCCTGGGTAGCCTATATGCCCCCTAGGCTACCTAGTTCACCTTTACTTTTTAAAATTCTTCTAATTAAAAACAAAATGGGAAACAAGCATGTTGCAAAGCAAAACCTCAAGCATAATCTTTATTTCCAGCAATGCCTGAACTTCCCAGAGGCCTCCTCAGAAAATAAAGTGGTCAATGGTTTGCAACCTGGGAAACTGGAGGAGATCTTGGGGAGAAAACCCACCACTTCTCTTCAGTTAAATCAGGGTTTTGTGACTCCACTCATCACTGCAGCCATTTTATGAGACACTGAGATGAAAGAGAGAGAGAGAGAGAGGTGCCTTTCAACTAAAGCCACAATTCAATATACACTGGCTTGGGAGTATGTTCTGCTCAGAGGGCAGAGGCATCTGCAGGGTGTGGTGAAAAAGGTCAAGATGAGGGGCCGTGATGGTGCAGTTTGAAACTCTACCTGTTTGTGTGCATTGCACATTAAAAGACAAAAAGATGGAGCTTCAATTGCATCATTGTGGTACCATCTTGGCTTTTTTCACCATATCCTGTGGACACACCTGAGATAGATGTGCATAAATTATATTATCTTGGAGACTGCTTAGGGCTATAGGAAATGTAGGGAAAATGGAAAGGTAATAGGACTGGTAGTCTTCACCTCTATGGAGACTCTTCAGGGTTGACAACAGGAACTTTTCAGGGTGGTGGCAGCATTAATGGGCCTGCTTCCTATCCTGACTGGGATGGGTGAGACACCAACGTGGGCGCCATCCCTGCATTCTCCAACTTGCAGCTTGAAGATTCCTTATGGACGTGTCCCCATGACATGGCCTTTGTCTCATCCCAGCCATAGCAAAGGCCACCTAACCATATTTAGTTTATTCGATATTAAATATTATTTATTATTATTGTAATAACATTACAAATAATATTAAATATTATTTGATATTAAAGCGGCCATTCCCATCTTTTCCTGGCATAACGCATGATTTCTCACACTTTGGCAATGGCCACAGTAACACAGCAGAGATGTCGCCAGCTCTTACTGGTTCCTACCCTTTTGACCCCGGTGGTTGCTGTGGGGTTTAGTCTTCTGAAGAGAAAAGAGGGCTCAACATGACATCTTCTCATTTAGTAAATGATTCCATCAAAAAGTTCACTATTTCTAGGTCATATACATAAACCTGGAGTGATGCAAGCCTTTTGGTATTTGTGCCCTTTTTGGAAGTGACGGGTGTTGCAGTTTTTGATTGCTATTCTGGCAGTGGAAGCAGCAGGCAGGAAGAGCCATAATGCCAGAGGTGGGAGGGGGCATGGCCAGAGACATGGGGAGTCCAGCTGCCAGGGCCTGTCGGCTGTTTTAAGGAAAGTGAGGAATACAGTGTGTGAGAGAGTGCGATAGAATGGGTAAGAATGAGCAAGAGTGCAAGAACAAGAGAGCAAAAGGCAGGTATCCACAGAATCATCAAAACGCAAAGATGGTGGCCTTAAGCAGGTGATCAATGCCCCACCTTTTGTAAATGAATGACTGTAAAATTCAATTGCAGGGTGGTGGCTGCCCGCAGAACCCCTGCCAAGAGAGGATGTATGCATGAGGGTGAATAATGGGATGAAACCATGTGAAAGAAAGCAAGAGAGAGTGTGCAAAAGGCACAAGTGAGTACAAAAAAGGTCAAGCTAGCAAGAAAGTGAGAAAGCAAGAAAGAGAAGCCGAGAGAATGAGTGAATGAGCAAGAAGGGCACAGTGAGAGTGAGCGTGAGAGAGGCAATCAGTGGATCACGCTTGAGGTGGGTGGGGGCTTCCTAGGGATACAGGAAAGGAGAACCTTTTCTGTGTTACCAAGAAGTGGAGCCCACCCACCCTGCTGATCAGGTTCCAATAGATAGGTAAACCCATGAGTCTAGCCATCTGCCAAAACTCACCTCCTTCCTCAATCCCATCCCCACCCCCCAACAGTTTTCTTTAACTTGTCTCGTATTAAAGCTGGAAGGATAGCACCACTCACTGGCCTCAATACTAAGATCTTATTACTAAAGATGAAGCACATGATGCCAGCGTACCTTCTGCTATCTCATGGACTGGAGGAAAGCACATTACGCGAGCTGTTCAGTTCATTGGAAGACCTGTTGGATTCGCTTTCAGACAAGAATGGCTCGTTTCGGCTTTTAAAAATCTATGCACATCAGCTAAGAAATACCTATCAGTGAAATCAGAACCAGATCAATCGTTGGCAAGGAGAGTTGGCAATCTTGAACAGTGGTAATGGCCTTATGAAAAGCAGCAAATTCTTATTAACTTGGTATTATTGGATTGGGAAGGTTCAATACAGAGAGTCAATTTGAAGGCAATTTGAGCAAAACTCCAAACTGAATCAGCTTTCCAAACTGGACTATTGATTTGGTTTGAATAATCAGATCAAATTGGATGCTTCTGAATCAGTCCAATTATTCAGTGGCATTTGCACAAAAAATATTTTTCTGAATTGAATTGATTTTTCATATCAGATTAATTTGATGATCCATTCAACAAACTAAACCAAATCTATTATTCAAATCAGATAGATTTGATGATCTGAACTGACATTTCACATAAGACCTGACCCTTCTTAGAGATTTATAGCGTCATCCACCCATCACTGTGCCATAATGAAAAAAAAGTAGACAGATTTTATATCATCACAGTGATGGTTGGATGTGACCATGTGGAAATGGCCATAGAGAGATGTTATGGCTGCTTCTGGATGGAGACCACAGGCTTCTTCAATCTATGTCCCTCATTCAAAAGTCCAGCACGCTGAGGAGTCTGGGTTTAAGCAATCAGGAGGTGATGGATAAGATGGCTTGTTTCACGGGGAGCAAATTCAGATGTCATGTGGGGATTATGGGTGCTGGAGTCAGATCATCTGGGCGGCTAAATTGAGAGAGACTGCTCCTGCTTTGGCTTGAGAATAAGGATGCACTTGAATGGGGGAGCATCTGTTAACCTTTTGTAGGATTGGGAATGTGGAACATTAAGGTTGAGCTTGTTTCTGTCTTCTTAAGTGGAGTGGAGACTTCTTATTCGCTTGTTATTTAGCCGATTGTTCTGAATGAGTCCTTCCACAAGGATGATGATGTTGATGATGTCCCATCAAGCTTGTGTTGACTCTTAACAACCACATATATAAAATGATAAAACTTCTCCAGGATGATCTGTCCCCAACCTGGTCCTTCAAGTCTTCCAACAGTGTACTCATTGCCACTGTAATTAAGTCTATCCACCCTGCCGCAGGTTTTCTTCTTCCCTTTCTTTCCACCTTTCCAACGTTATAGACTTCTTGAATTAGATCTTTGCATAATGTGCTGGAATATGATAATTTCAGCCTTGTCGTTTGTGCCATTTGACTGAGAAGTCTGGCCTGATTTGTTCAAAGATCCATTTGTTTGTTTCCTTGGCTATCATGGTATTCTCAGGAGCTTTCTCCAATGCCAAAGTTCAAAAACATCAGCATTCTTTCTATCCTGCTTCTTCCATACTTCCATCCATCCATCCAACTTTCACTTCCATACAGTATCACATGGAAAATCATTGCCTGCATGATTGTGATCGTTTTAGGTATAGCCATATGTCAGCATCTGAATATTTTTCCAAGGCCTCTGTTGCTACACTCCAAAATGCTAGTCTGTGGGTTTTATTCCATGTGCTCTTCCCCCCAGTCTTTTTCTCCCTCCACCTATCTTTTCTACCATTCCTGTCCGCACTACCCACTCATCCTTCATTCCCCTCAGACAGTTTGTTGCTTCCTATTTATCCCCTCCATTCTCCTTAAAGCATTCTGAATAGATAGTGGTTTGGCTATAATGTTGTTTGCTTAGTCTGTTGTGTGAGCCACTGGTTTTAGCATAATGTGTTATATGAAGACAGTCATTGCTGTTTTAAGCAAACCATGGTTTAGTGTGATGTATAAACCATACCTGTGTCTGTCGGTAACCAATGCATTTTCCTATCTTAAACAATCACTTTCTAGTTTCGGAAAACTTGCTGTACCAGAAGAAAGTACAGTGAGGAGTGAGAAAAGCAACATGTAGGTGAGCTGATGTGTCCCTCACTTAAATTATATCATAGTTCTGACTACAGGGAAGAACAGAGATTGCTTCCTTTGTCCAGAGCTTATACATTCATATTCACCCAATGCTCAAATCATGATCCTGGGTTTCTTTGGTTTTGCCTTTATTGTTATTTGAGCTCAGCCACAGTGGGTGGTAAACCATGGTATATGGCCTAGTGTGGCCAAATATATCACGTGTATATGGCTCACATTAAGTGTGGCCTATTCAGAAAGTCATGTTTAAATTGAGCATGGCTTAGTACAATGAGTGAGCTCAGTCTCGCTCAGGATTAGGTAGCATTATATTATGAAAAAAGATAATGTCTCTTTCAAGTAAGAATAAGAGCATTTATAACTCTTTCCATGCTGAACAAGGGCCTTCTGACTAGAAAATGTTTTCAAAAGAAAAAGAGGAATAAAGAGATCATGGAAGGAAAGACAGACACTCCTGCAACCGGCCTCAACATTACCCCCCACGCACACTCAATGGGTCTGCCTGCCTCAACTTCTTCACAGAGTTGGCTGCCCACCCCAATGTCCCTGGCACATTATCAGATAGTCTCTGAAGGGTCACCTGGGGCCATAGAGATTGTAGGCCCCTGGTGTGTTGCACTGCTGGAAGACCTTTTCAGACGACTGCATTCTCTCAAGTCCCTCACAGAGAATCAACAAATGACACCTTTGACTGCTCTGGAGTTGAAATCTGTTGTATTAAAGTTGCAGAAGTTTTTCTCCTCAGAGTTATTGGACTGCAAGGCCCAGCCTTTATACTGATGGATGGAAGGATGGAACCAACAATATTATAGTCATCCCTCTTGCCATCCAAATGCATCTGCAAGGACACCAGCTAGATGAAGATTTTTTTAAAAAAATGAAACCAGCAAGACTTTGCATCGACATTTCTAATTCCTTTTCTTCTTCTCTGTTTGACACATGGACCACACTATTCATTCTCATGGAAAGGTGTTACAGCTGGGTGGGAGAGGTGCCAAATAAGTCATGCCAA